TTTATTAACGTCATTATAAACACTGTTAAACATATTAAATCTAACAGTCGAATATCTTTGGATATGGGGTAACCCATATCTATTCTTGTTATCACTGGCGCTGACCAAACACATGTGTCAGCTCAATTTTCGCCTATAGGAGATCTGTTATGTAATCATCATGTTTTTAGGAAAATTGTTGCATTTCATTTGGGCTTTCTTGAGGCAAGTACATAAACATCCACATGTAGCACACTATGGTCAATTATTGCATACTGAATATCGACTCGTTTTTGCACTTTCATAAACATAGGCGTCGGGAGCAGGGGGGGGGCTTAGTCCCCCACTTTTTGCAAAAATAGACATTATTTAGGCAATGCATATTGGGATTTACCTATTTTTGTAGGTTTAGCCCCCACTTTCGATTACCCCCCCCCCCCCCCCTTTTCAATTTGCTTCCGACGCCCATGATAAATGTTGTCCTCGTGTATGAATCAGTAGATCAAAATTTAGGTCTGGACAGCAGAGCAGCCTAAAGCAGGATGAAATGTTTCTGTTTTCCGCAACACGTATATATACAAAGTACCGTCCTATATTAACAAAATATACATGTATCTGTTTGGTTTAAATGTTTTATCAAGGCATATTTTATCTTATTTACTGCATACTTGTTCAAAAATATCGATAACTTTGATAGGTACTTTAATTTCTGGTTCTGTATTTCCACACCAATATCCCTAATTTTAAAATTTTTTGCAAACCGGAAAACCCTAACATGTCCTTTCAACTGGTATGAATTTAGCCTGGTTCCCTTCATAAGGGACAGGAAACCAGGTTAGATGACGTCAATATTGCATGCTTTCAGTAGCGTCATTCTGAAGGTAAATACTCCAAAAGAATACCAGGTGTTTTATTTTTACATTGCCAGTGTTAACGAAGAAGAAACAGAAGTCTTGAGCTTTGTGCCCTTCACTTATATTGTACAACTGTAGCTTCTATAGCCTAACTATAAGTTTAAGTTCATTTTCACATCAAGTGTTGTAATATCAAGGGGCCGTAACTCTGTAAAAGACCAAAAATGTTGACTGGTGGGCCTAGTGTTCTCAATTTTAAAACTTTTCCGCTAGGCCATAAACATTACTAAGATTGTTTTTTAATTATACTATAGTATTCCCTTCCACCACACACACACAAATCTGAGTCGGGTTACCCCTGGTAATATTCAGAAGGGGGGGGGGGCTTCACTAGTCAAGTGTCTGCATCTCTCCCTAGCAAAGTGCCCGAATCGTTTGCCTTAAATGGTTTCATCTCCCCCTGGGGGGAGGGGGGTTAATGATTCTGACAATTTGCTAGCGATGAAGGTGGTAGGGGATTTACAATTTGTACAACTTTCGCTTCGCCCGTTATGCAAATTATCCCACGTTTCCAACTATTTGTTATACTCTACTAGTTAGACAGGGATTCCTTGATTCATGTAAGTCTTAAAGGTGATGATCTATACCCAGTTTATATAACTGAGAATTCCCTATTCATCTTGCTGCAATTTAGAATAGATAACTGACACCAGAAAATATTTTACAAATCTTTTTATTAATAAAACTAATGCAAAAAGAAAATACGGAATGTATGTACATGTAGCATGTAGTGATGGGGAATCGGAAAAAAATCAGAATCGATTATCGGTAATAATCGGCTGGGCATAATCGATTAATAATCGATTATAATCGAAATTTTGAACTTTAATGAAATTAATATAGAAAAGTTAAAACTTATTCAGATTTCTGTCAGACTTTTACAAAAAATAATTTACTTAAATAAAATATCCAAAAATATTAATTGAAATTTCTATTTTAAAATGTGGAAAATAATATTTTGTTTACTTTGAACAATATAGGACTATTGAAACAGAATGGGAATTTATTTTTTTTTATATAAAGTACATGCAATGGGTATTTTACTGATATTAGTCTTACCTTTCATTTAATACATGATTTTATTTCTCAAAATTAGTTTTAATTATTAAAATTGCAAGTTTTAAAAGTAGTTATCCAGATGTAAAACATATTTCTGATTATGATTACGTTTAAAGATTGACTAGGCTAATTATGTTTTCCTTTGTATAGTTAAACCTTGCAATATTACCGTCTCCTGGTATTAGTCTCACCCCAAATTTAATCATGGCGGTAAAATTATCAACAAGACACGGAATCCTTCCATGTTTTCAACTTTCATCACTACTTTTATGCTCTTTGCACTTGGATTTGGTAATAAAATTAAAGTATGACAATTCTATTTTTTGTTAGCGATGTCGGCGACATTTATTTTATAATCGATTAGTAGCATCGAAGAGCTTCTAACGACCGACAATCGATTGTCGGCGACAATCGTTCCATCACTAGTAGCATGTATACATTTAATATGTTTCACATGTTTTAAGATGCAGACACTTGAATTTTTGTAACTTCAAGATATTAATAAGCTTGGCATTGAAACACACTTTTAAAAATTCTAATGGTAAACAACCACTTGAATATATACGCTCGTAATGTAAAATACTCATTATAAAACCTTTTTTTTTTATATATTTGTTCAAGTGTTTTCAAATTTTCAAGTGTTTATGATAAAACTTTACAACAACCCATCAGAAACTAATTTGTTTCTATTGCTTTTAGTAATGAAGTGTTCTTGGACTTCATCTTAAACTGTCTAATAGAAACAATATTAGGATGAGCACTATGCATTAAATATGCATTACTATTTTTGGTTTCTCTGACACTGACAGTCAACTAGCTGCAATAATGTAACCCTCACCTGTTACAGTTTTGTGAGAAAACACCAGATTAAAAACATCGGAGAGAGCTACACTATTGTAACGAACAGTCAACTTCATCTGCATTTTGCAAATTTATGTATTAAGTTGCAAGTTTTAAATATTTTAAAAGTATACTGTAAAGCAACTATTATTTGCGTCATCTTTTATTTGTGATTCGTCAATTTGAAATCAATCCGCGACGATCAATTTTCGCGACTGAGAAAACGTCCCTCACAAATACTTAAGAAAAATGAATGTTCGCGGCGATTAATATCCGCGACTTATACCCCATTCATACGACGAAAATTTGCTTATGTGTGCATATTTACATATGAGTAAATATACACACGTAAGTAAAAGTTAATTTGCTATGCGTTCAGACGAGATTTATGTGCTGTAAGTAAATCCTTATATTTTCATGTTAAATAAGGAGATCCACAGATTCAGAATTGTAAATTTTTATATAAAAAAAGGTTATTTTCTTTCTATTTGGGTATAAGACTAACTTTTGAATGTTCCTCAAAGAAAGAAGGGGAAAATCCGATCCATTTATTTTTGGTACGGGAAAAGCAAACTTAATAACTTTTAGGAAAAATTTACACACGAAAAAAAGGAAAATTAATTAAAATCATTGTTTAAAATTGGAAAATGCTTTGGCCTTGGTCCTTAAACTGTAGAAGAGCCGTTGGGTGGTAAGAAAATTTCTAAAGACGGCTGTTGCCATCTACTGAATGGCGTCTTCAGCAGAATAAAGTACGATTGGAAATATTTTTGGTGTTTGGAAATCTACAGTACATCAAGTTTGTGAGGTCATTATGAAGTTTCTGCTTGAATGTTATATGTATTTCATGGAGAATGAAATGGGCAATCGATTTTAAAAAAATTCAAACAAAATAAATATATGAATAGGAAATAAACACGAATCCCCTAGAAATTCATGGTGGGATCAGGTGCCAAGGATCGAGAAAGCTTAAAAATGCTTATTTTTAACAGGGTTGTTGAAATTCCTGTAGCATCAATTTATATGTCAGTAGCTTGCCTTGGTTTCAAAACAAAGAAAGGTAGAAGAAAGTCAATCTGTAATGGGGCCCGGGCGATTGATACAATGCCTATTCCTATCACAGCTCCGGAGCATTCCCATGAATACTAACTGAATTGTAAGGGGACTACTTATTGCATGTGCAGGGCACATGTTTGCGCGACCACAGTTATATTTTAATAATTTAGAGGCATAAACATAGGTTTGCCAGAAAGGGTGCAAGATGCACACGTTTTTGCGAATTCAAATTTACATCAGAGGACACTGGATATATAGTGTGGATCCTTGTTTTCGGAGTTGAAAAAGCCATTTGTGGAAAGAATTATGCTAGAACAACCCGGCGTATTCTCTAAAGACTTTAAAGCAGTACTCTATCAAAACTCAAATTACTTTCAGCTGTCTTTGAAGTACAGCAAAAATGACCATAAAATCTATTTTTTTTTAAGTTTTGCTTTCTAGCCGCCATGTTAACAGACTGATATTATACACACAACAATGCATAAACAACCGAAACAACACTTAAAATGGTGATTTATGCAATAAACAAAACAAAATACATACATAAGTAAATTTGCTGCGTGTTCATACGACAAAATTTACAAAAATAAACTAATAATTTGCAACAACATGTATGTAAAAGTTAATTTGCACCTAGTCCTGACTAGGTGTAAATTTACTCAACTGTGCAGAATTTATATGTGAGCAAATCTGTTCATACGACAAAAATTGCACACGTGAGTAAATTTACATATGAGTAAAATATACTGAGGTATGCAAATCATGTCGTATGAATGGGGTATTAGAGTAGGTGGCGGATACTTCTCGCACACCAATAAGAGTTGGTTTACAGTATCTTTATTGATATTCTTCAGTTTTGGCATCTTCTCAAGTCACGGTTCGGAGTCTGCTTATAGCTTTTGGCCGTGGTTCACGAAGATGCAATTTTTGTGGTTACAATGACAATTCAAAAACTTAATTTTGATGAAAAAAATGAGAACCTATAGATTTTAGCTCACTCGAGCTTTTAAAATTTCTAATAAGATTTCCTATATATGGACTGTTCTGCATTCAATTATTTTTTTTTTATTTGTCTGGCGTCTGTAATTTTTCTTCTTTTTTTTGTTTTTGTTTTTTTGTTGTTGAATTTTTGATTTCCTTTTTCTCCTATAGAATTCTGGACCAGTTTCAGTAAAACAAGCCACAGAACATTTGAAGACACCAACCATTCAACTTACGAACCATTGAGCCAGAAAAGGTGAAATTTATTTGAAAGTTTCCTATTATATTGTGTATATTGCAATGTTGACTTACATTTGTTCAGATACATGTACACTGTAATGACATTTAGGGTGTAGGAGGAGGAGGAGGTCGCAGGTTGTTTATTCATAGTTTTACACATGCCGTATGGATATTTATTTTAGTAAAATACATATACCTCTAAAATCTCTTCTTTCTAGAGAAACAGATTAGTCTTGTAAGACTCAAACTCTGCCAGGTAGACCTATATTACATGTACTTTAAAACATTGCTCTAGGGTGTTATCTGGATCTTCAACCTACAACAAATTGGATCAAAGATTTACGTACTTTTGAATGCATGACATTTACATAGTAAGAATGTTCAAATTCCAACTTCTCAAGAACAGTAAGCTCACTATTGCCTACTAGTACCAATGTACATGTATATTATATGTGAGAATCCTTCAATAATGTAGTATTGTTCAAGCCCTCGCTCCACAGGGGTTATATTGAAACCAAATTTAGAATTAGTATTTTTTTTACTTGGAGGGTTTAAGGAAAATGGTCTATTTTTTAAAAAGATGTAGAGCCATGATTAGTTAAATAAATGTTCAAGCATCTAAGTAGTACAGATTGAGAATGGCCAAATTAGGGTTTAACGGGGGGGGGGGGGGCAACATGAAACCCGAGAGCAAGTATGGCAATAGTCCGAGAATCTGACTTTTCCAGGCTTTTTTACGATTTTGATATTTAACAAATTTTGGCACGTAAAATATGAAAATCGTGAAAAAAAAGCCTGGAAAACGTCAGATTTTTCAGACTTGGTTGGCATACGTTATTCCACAGTAGATGATGCTACATGTAATGCCTTTTATACCATGGCAGTAAGGCATTGTATGAAATATTGTTTTCACAATGCCAAAGAACACAGCCATTTTGTAGAACAATGCAGGCTTAATACAGGGAGATTTTTCGGATTATTCCATATATTAACTATTTGGCTAAATCATTTGAATGTTTCTTGAAATTTAAAAGAAGAGTCAGATTTTTAAAAAATATTTCTAAGGTATATTCATTGTAATTATAGGAGTAACCTAGTTCTATTCCATCCTTAGTTCTCCGTCGGGTCAACTCGGCATTTGTACTTTTTATTTTTCAATGCATGACTCGCGTGAAAATCAGTTTATTTTAATTTTTAAGACTTCCACAAAACCAAACTTTCACTTGTGGGTAAAAAATACATGATTAAGATGTGCTCTCACTTAATTATTAAGAAAAATGTTTATCCATACATGTCCACTACGTTGATAGTATAGAATTGCACCCGAGGCGCCTTGGTCGGTACATTGGTCAGTACATGTATGTGCCCTGGGCATCCAAGGTCTCACGTAAACCTGTATTTCCGGGTGAAGGTGTTAATCTAAAATTTGCCCATTTTCACACGTGCCAAATTCTGGGTCTAGTGGATACTTCATTTTAAATATACAATAAGAGGACACATATGCAACATAAATCTGAACAACGTACACTGTAAGTATACGTAAGGGTCGTTATATTTTTTTTTCTTGAAAATGTAAATGTTTCATTGAAGTGTGAATGTATTCTTCAGTAAAATCATTACAACGCCCTTGTCATATCGTCTATTTCAGAGCTAAAATTGAATTTATGATGCTGAAAACCTTTTTTTTTTTTTTATTTATAAACAGGAATGTCTAAAAAAAAAAAAAAACTTCTTGTCACATTCCTATTTAATTTCTGAATGCACTATCGATGAAGGGCTGAAATCTTTTCAAAGCATATGGACAGGGCAGTATACGATTAACAAAAACGGTTAAATTTTACAAAGTTTATAAAGTTTATAAGGTAATGGCCTTACCCTGTATATGATCTATCGACCCTTAGGCTGCTTTAATAACTGGTTTTTATCAAGTACATATGCATGTAGGAAGTTTTAATAGGGCCATTTTAGGATGGAATTTAATTCAGGGTGGTGTGTGCAGGAACTATATGTATACACGTGTCAAAATCGGTTAGCTGTTGTACAAAATGGTGAGTGGACCTACAATAATAATGAATACTTGATTCGCCGTCATATGCATTGAGAAAAATCGGTGCTTTTAAATATCTAACTTACAGGAAAATTGAGGCAAAAACTTATGTGTCAAAGCTCTTTTAATTAGACATTGGCAAAAATGATGACGTTGGGTGGTAATATGGAGCACCATATTAATAGGCCACACTATGTTGAGGCGGGATATGACTCCTGAAAATAGGGAAAAGAGATGAAAAAAACACAAATATAGCATAACTGTTGGAATGTTTTGTTGATTATAATATAAACATTAAATATTAATGTTTATAAAAATACATCAGTTATTTTGCAATTCGACATGTATGTGATATGCATCTTGGGAGGGGAAAATGTTGCAAGTAAGATGTTCAGTTATTTTTGAAAATATGCTTTTTTAAAAGAATTCCAATGGACTGAATGTAGACAAAGGTCAATAATACCAATAATATAGCGATATTAATGCATTAATGGTAAAAATCTTATACTTTATAACCGTTTCATTCAAATGTATGTTTAGGATCCAGATGTGGTTAGATTGTCCGTTCAGTAAAATCCTTTCTTATCCTTTCACTTCATTTGTTTTCCAGACTTCAGTCACACATGATTAAATTCAAGTTTTTTTTTTATTTTTCAGAAAATGAACATATCACCGCGAGTTCTCAAATTAACATTAGCCTGTGTCGTAGGCATGGTCACCATCGTTGTGATCAACAATTGGTACCGCTCAAAAAACATTGTCATTCAAAACAACGCATTTACGGGCCCACAAATACAGCGGGACAAGCAGCAGGCTGGTTATGTTCAACCTCCACCTGCATTCTTGGAAAGTAAAAATGTACAGCAACTACAGATAGACAGCTTCAATCCTCCTCCACCTAAAGTCGAAATAAAAAGGAGACCAACAAAATGTGGCGAAACAGACGACGACTTTCGTTATTCCGGATTGGAGACCGTCAAACCTTTGACTGATAAAGTGTCGGCGAAATTCCGGAGCCAGGAAGCATCTTGTTCACGAAAGAATTTTCCGAAACCAAACGCTAAGTTGACGCCCGAGGAGACACGAAGGAAAACGGAATGCGTGAGAAACTGGCGAAGAGATCACAGGCAAGGAAGTGGTGCGTTCTGGACCGGAACTGTCCAGTACATTCGTCACTTACATCACACGTACCTAAATACGGATAGCACCGTTTTTGATATCGGCGGTAATAAAGGCGAAGATGCAGAGGCCATGATAAAGAGATATCATCCCGGAACTTACGTCATACTGGAGCCGATCAAAACTTTGTACTCGAATCTGGTCAAGATGTTTAAAAGCAACGATAAAGTGGCATTGTATAACTTTGGTCTAGCGAGAAAAGACGACAGGTTCTTCGTTAATGTCAGGGGTCATGGAGGGGATGCGACGTCCATTTTTGACGGAAATGATAATGGCGGAAGTTGTATGCTACGTGTCGTAAACACTACTCAGTTTCTCCTGCAGGTTGGTGTTCCATGTTACGAAGTGGACCTTATTACCGTCAACTGCGAAGGTTGTGAATTTGAAATAATGGAAGAACTTATATCAAGTGGAATGATCGGTCAGTTTAGACATGTACAATTTGCTACACATCCTACATTAGCCCATCTTAAAAAAGCCCCAGAACGATATTGTGAAATTCAAGAAAAACTGAAAAGGACCCATAAAGTTTCTTATCAGTATAAATGGTGCTGGGAAAGTTGGACGCGAAAGGACCTTATTTAGAAATGCATGTAAACACTGTACATGTTGTTTATAAGAAGTGAGGGAGCGGGTCCCAGAGCGTTAGTTGAGTTCTCGGTGATTTACAAGATATAGACCTGTAAATTATGTTTTCATTTCAATGTTTTTCTTAAGCATTTCATTTTGTCATCTGTTCGTTTACGGTTCGTTTTCCGTAACGCATTGTTGAAACATACAGTGTACATTAGTTTCAAATCAATTTGGTATTCAGTCATGCGTTTTTAGAAATATTAAGCAAACATCCATTATGAAAATAATTTCATCGGGGAAAATTGTACACATACTGCCATACATAGACGTGTGGATGATCTGCCTGATCTCGAAAGACAACTTACTTTGCTTTGTTAGTCCCAAACAGTGTCAGAGAATGTGAATGTTGAAAGAATGCAAATATGTGTATAAACATGCGAGTGCAGTGGTGTCACAATGAGATTTTTTTTTTGCTCTGAGATGTAAGCCGCCATGTTAATTAATGATCGCTTATATGTAAACTTGCCAACTTTCAATGCTACAGTATTCATTTCATTTTTAAAAATTGATATTATATTATTTCCTTTTGAAGGTTATATCAGATGTTGTTTGAAATAAAAGCACTTTTGTCATATAATGTAAGCTTGTTTACCATGTATGTCTTGCATACAATTTTGTCTGGGCAGGTTACCATTATATACAT